TCGCTTTTCGTCCTCTCAATTTCGTAAACAACAGAAATGCCACGAGAAGACAGTGAGTGGGACTTCCCTGGCAGAGGCTATATACGCGTGGCCATGTGAGAGCATTTCGAGAGGGAGAGAGGACTCTCTCCACTCTCGGCCGTACCAGGGCATTTGGGGGCGTCCTACCACGACCTGTAAAACGTGTCCTTAAACCATAAATGTTCTCATGTTGGAACACCATTGTCCATAGAAATTACCCATGAACAAATATATTTTGCGTTAGGATCCTAACCATACACCAATGATTGTCTCAATTTCATCTATTCAGAAAAATCTTAGTTCAGGGAAGTCCTTTGTTTCGCCTTAATAGTTTTCAAAATCACCCTGTAAGTGTGGGCCTATAGTTCCATGGGTCTGGGAGCTATTATTGCAAGGAGTCAGTATTATTTTAACCCTTCTATACTATTTGTTTAGTTTCCGTCTACATCACAATTCAAATATGGGTGTCTCAGCTTCTGTGTTTGTTTTGAGACTAGCGTTCAAGGTGGTTATTTACACCAATCCCAACCAAACTTACATTTGAACGAAACTGTAGTGCTCATCTCGATGTACTTTATAGTGTGTAAAATGATGGCGTGGTGATTAAGACGTTCAACTTTCAGTCACTAAGTTTCAGGTCCGAACCGTGCCCACCCACTTTAGTTGGTGCAACTGATTAGTATATATTGGGACAATCAGTGATTGTGACCAGTCAGATGGGCTTACATCCAACTTCCAGATTTTAGGTAAAATATTAGTTAACCTAATCGCTACAATTGGACCACCATTCTTAAAGATGTCTAGAGCCAATCCATCTGGACCAGCTGCTCTTCCTCGTTTCAGGTTAATTATGGCCTTTTAAATTTCAGATAAATTCGGTGGACCTACTTCAATGTTCCATTGAGACTGTCTGGGAATGGAGGGTAGTTGTAGAGTAGCTGAAGACCAGCTGAATCGCTCCTTAAAATGTTCCGCCCATCGTTCTAAACGTCTGGACTGAGAGAAGATGAGGGTGTCGTATTTTTCCGAAAAAGTCTCACTTACACTTGACTTCTTAATTTGAATTTCTTTTATTAGTCCGAAAAGCTGTCTTGCGTTACCTACAATCGCTGCCTTTTCTGTCTCTTTTGCTTTCGTTGCCCACCACTACCCACAGTCGTTCCTTAGACTTTTGTTTAAGCTAGATCTGATTTGTTTTCGTTCTTCATAGTGTTCAGAGCCTGATGGGATGAGTTTACGAGAATCCATCAGTGCAATAGACCTAGAAGAAATCCATTGGTTCTTTGTAACCCTGTGGTTTAAATCACTAACAGATGTCACTGCTGTTTCCACAGCTGCTTTTATATCTTTCCAAGCAACATATGGGTCAGTCTCGTTTTCAGAACTACCTAATTGTGACCTCAGTTGTTCCTGGAACCTACTTTTGGTTTTCTCATTACTCAATTTAATTCTAATGGGTCTTTTTACTGTGGATTTTTTGCGTCCAGTGAGGTGCAAGTAGATGCGTGCCCGTATCAGAGGATGGTCGGAGTCCAAGCAGGTATTCCAGAATGAGCAACAATCTTCTATCGAGCCTCTCCAACGATGACTGATGGCAATATGGTCTATTTGAGTCCATCGTTGGTTTGGTGTAGGGGGTCGCCATGTTAAACGATGTCTCTCCTTATGCTTAAAATTTGTGTTTGCTAAAAATAAACGATTGTCTGAGCACAGTTGCAGCAGACGTTCACCACTATCTGTTTGCTGAGCCGCAATACTAAGATACCCGCCTAAATGTCGTTCTGTTTGGCTTAAGCTACCTGCTTGGACATACAAGTCACCTGCTACGAGTACTGTATCTGAACGTTCATCTTTCGCTTCCTCCGGGCTGCAGTCAGTCTGAGCGTAGGCAGAAACGACGAACGGGCAACGCCGTGTGTCCTTATCCTTCCGAGTTCTTACGGAGATGTTTCGCCGTACAGCACAGACGACTGTTAACGGGGATTCACTCTAATATTGCTTGTTCTACCCTCGTACTTAGTGCTATGCCTACACTTACCAGTCCACGAGAACTAGCCATCGGGTCGCCAGATACATGGAGGGTGTATCTCATCGGCTCTCCGTTTTGGCGAGGTGAGGTGAAGTGAATGACCATACTAGGATTCTGTATGTGTTTTGGAGATACAACATACATCAATGGTACGAGATTCTAGGGTTTTAGCCAAGGAGGCCTGCTGACCGATCTAACACAAGGTGTGTACATTGAAGGATCCAATGTGTAGTTTGGATCGGGGTTTTAGTAGACCTCGGACAGTGTTTAGCGCACCAGAACTGTTGCCTATGGTGACACTTGAAGAGGAAGCCGAAAAAGGAAGTTCAGAAGTGAAAGCCGATGTAGGAGGAATAATAGGGATTGAAAAGTTTGATTATGAATACAGTAATCTTGAGTGTTGTTAGAGGTATAACGGCGGCTATCACTTCCCGGTTGCCCACTCCGTGGAAGGGTTCTTCTGGAGGTACCTGAAAAGGAAATTGGATTAGAGGCGGTCTCAGTGACCTGAGAGCGTGACCGCAGTGCCCAAGGGACAACTGCTTGAGGCCGGTCGCGCACGGCCTTTTCGTGGGAGGTTTTTGACGTGTTAGCTCCGTTCTTCAAAGGGCATTACCACCGGAGACGGAAATCCGTGAGGTAAGGTGAGGTGTGCATTTCTAGGGTCGACCTTTTCTAACCCCACCCCTCCTTGTGGGAAGGCAGCATCGCTGTCATGCTGGTTGTCTAAAGGAAACACCTTACTGCTGTCACACCTCTGTACAGTTAGCAGTACGACTTTGTGTTAGCGGGACATAGACTAGATTAAAGCATGCTCAATGCATGATTGCTTTGGTGCACGCTGATTGGCTAATTCTTATCCAATCAGCACTGGCCGATAGTTGGAGAACACTCTGAAATCTTATGTAAAAACTATAAATATACTGACGTTTTCCCTATTGTGCTTCTGACTTGCTTCTGACTTGCTATTTGGAATATAATCTCTTTCCTGTTCAACCGTGTTCTGATTTGGGGACTTGTCGAGTGAATCGGTGTCCGAGAATACTAAGTAATAGGAATAGCTGGGTCATAACCGTAAGAAGAAAGAGATTATAACACTTTGCCTTCGGACTTTGGGTTTGTTGCTTTTAGTCTTACCGCTCATCAACCGACCTGTCTGACATGGTAGGACCTTGAGGAACAGTTGTTCCAGCCAGTATAGCTCGATTGATTCATCATGATAGGCAAGCCCGACCACCATGTCGAGGTAGCAACAATGGTCGGGGCCCTTACACTTGGTGTAGCTCATATCTAAGTACTTGGTACATAAGTTAATATACTCCTTAATTTACATGTTTTGGAAAAGTCTACTCTGAAAACGAAATGAATAGTGCTCATATTTAGCAAAAATGCGAGAAGTTTTACTCTTAAAATAGTAATAAGTGCCAACAATACGTGTACATTGTTCAAAAAGTAAAATGACGAAAATTATTACTGGCTCTCAGACAAAATTTCCCTTTAAATGTGAAGTGATAGAGATGACAAATCGCAACTTCTTGTCGGCTCATCCATAGGCTACTTCAAATTACTGTAATCCATCACGTGCATTTAATCTGAAAAACGACTAAATCGTGTATAAAGTATTTAAAACTTGTTATAAAGGGTATTAAACAGCTTATTAGATGTAGCTCTTGTGTAAATACAAATTCAGACACTTCCTATATTTTCCAATCCAAAGACAACTTCTGTCTCGATTGATATCTAGGTGTTTCCACTGTGCTCCTATATTAAGAAAGGTTTTAAAGAGTACTTCATTTCGCCAAGAGATATACTCCAGCGTTCTAATTTTGTATGGGTTTTCACTAGAAATATATATCTTTTCTTAAGAATTACAATTAACTTGTACTTGAATTTTTCATAGACATATAGGCCTCAACCGAGATCATATGTTATTTTAGTATGCATAAACATAATTTCGTTAGTTGATGAGTAAAAATGTCCATTTCGGACTCATACAACTAGGTGTCTACATCTAGGATTATTTATTGTTTTCATTCATATTTTGTTTCCTGCAACCTTTACGAAGCGTGATAGATTTAACCAATGTATTCAGAGATAGAATGGAAATTTCCAGATTGTAGCCTGCTTTTTCTTCAGGGTTGTGAATGTTGATATCTTCCAGTGGAATTCGGACATTAAAAAATATGTTGATGGAATAACTCATTTATCATGGAGGAGGATTAATGATAAATGGGTTTCGGATTCTCAAAATAAATTAGCAGAATACTAATCAATGAACAAAATGGAATGATACGAAGTGTACAATTGATGTCGACTCTCGATAGTGAAACTCACGAATGAACTGATATCGGAAGACGCGACAGCTGTTCAGTAAAACAGTTTTTATATGTAATAAGATAACACAAAATCGACATAATTTATTGTAATTAATGACTAGACTATCGATTTCGTAGGTTGTTTGCTCTCCAATAAGCCAAGACGTTGTCTATCATATCACCTTTACAACATAGTGTAGGATTCTTTTGTGATAGTAAGACGGTAATGCTGTTTACTTGTTTCGTATGTTCTTCTATCTTCATTGGGATTGTTTTTTCTGTTTTGTTTACCATCCACAGCTACGACATTAACATAAACACAGACGTCCCTTTATCATTGCTTGATTGATAATTCGACATAAATTTTGGATTTCACTTTCTACTCTCTTTAGGCTTGGAATTTGTCGCATAATTTGAATTGTCACGATGTGCGCACTAAAATTACCGTCCTGCTGTTACTGAGTGTCAGTGGTTTTGGTTCGTTCATTTGGTACGTGGCGGCTAATCGCCCGAATTTCTGTAAACTGAGCGTTGAGAAATATTTAAAGATTGGACAGTTAAAGTTCAATAATTTTCTGGAAATTAAGGCTAATGGGCTTCAACTAGATCTGAATCACCGGGGACTTCAAACTTCATTGGCTCAATTGTAACGTTGCTTGTAATTACTGTATTATTTGATGAATTGAAATTTTCTGTGATAAGTTGTCTTTGAACTGGATTTTATTCTGGATAAATGATTTGTTGGTGGAGTTAAGATCTCATTTTATTTAGAAATATTTTGATAGCACTGACTGAATGAATATTGATTTCCACTCATTCACTGTAATAGACATTTTAACAGTAGATTTTTATCCTCAACCTCACTGTTATAAAGGGGGATTCGATAACTTGATGAACAGTAAATAGAATGCAATAATATGAAATGACAAATTGATATCTGATCATGGTACCGAATTACTGACCGAAATCCCCAAATGGACGTATATCAGAAAACAAGACAGTAAAATAGGGTTTTCATGTATTTATAAATATGTAGCTCTAGGTTCTTTCCACTTCAGTATCGCCTCATCAATTTTTTCTCATGATAAGTAGTACCAGATATGCTCGTTTGTACTTCTGTAATCACAAAAAGTTTCGTCTAGAATAAGCGTATGATCATATTTTAGAAATTTGATTGATTCTCTTAGAATCGAGTGTCAGTACTTTATTATTCATACAGTATGTAGTTATAGACTTGGGATTCTGAAGTATACAAGTTTCTCCATTTTCAACTACTTTTAAAGAAATCTTGTGTGTGTATTGCATTTTTTGATCCGTATGCATTGTGATATACTTAACTTTTGCAGATCATGAATCAATATATTATACCATTGGCACATAACGACCCAAGACTTTTTTCTCATGTCTCACAAGCCTTTTCCTTGGTTGATCTTGGCAAGCGTTTACTGGATGCCGCAAAAAACGGAGATGTCGAGGAAGTCAAGAATTTAATAAATAATGGAGCACCGTTTACTACTGACTGGGTAAGTTATTTGGCTTGTTCACAAAGTCATGATTGGTGTTCTTTTTGTGCTAATGAGGTATAGCAACTTGAACCGATGCATATATGCGCCTGATCCTACGTTGTAGCTGACTGACTGAAAGTTGTGATTGAACAGTAGAACTATGTATTGCTAGCATTTATGCATGTTCCGTGACATGGGCTTCTATAAATTAAAACGTCAGACTTGTTTTTATTCAGCACCTAACATCCTAATATACTTACTTCTGTTGCTTCTCGTGGATCATGAGCTGTTGATCAGGAGTCTCTAACCTATTCTATCTTGAGCTTCTTTCCAATTGTTGAAAGGTGCTATCAATTATTTTGATGTCTACCTCCAATTCCCAGCACCATATGTCTCCCTCTTTTCTTTTTTATTTGAGAATTCCAAGCCAGGGCTTGATTTCTGATGCAGTTCGATGATTCTCGCAATGTATATCCTATCCACCTCCAACATTTTTTCCTAATTTTCTCTTCAGCTGGAAGCTGGTTTGTTCTCTCCCACAGAAGGCTGTTTCTGATGGTATCTGGTCAATGGATGTTGAGTATCTTGCGCAGACAGTTGTTATAAATACTTGTACCTTTTTGATGCTGGTTGAAGTAGTTCTTCGCGTTTCAGCTCCGTACAGTAGAACTGTCTTGACGTTTCTTATTGAAGATTCTGACTTGGATGTCGACTTACAGACAACTGTTTTGATTTCCATATGTTCTTCAGTTGTAGGAATGCTGTTCTTACTTGGTTATCCTTGCTTTTACGTCTGCATCGGATTATCCTTGTTTATCGATGATGCTACCCAGATATGTAAAAGTTCAGACCTCTTCCAGAGCTTCTCCATCAAGTGAGATTAGGTTGGTGTTCTCTGTGTTGTATTTGAGAATCTTGTTTTCCCTTTGTGTATGTTGAAGCCTACTGCTGCACAGGCTGCCACTAAACTGGCTGTATTCACCTGCATTTGTTGGTCTTTATGGAATAGAAGAGCTAGGTTATCTGCGAAAGGGGGAGAGGAAACAGCCTTATCTGACTCAGGTCCTCACTTGGAATGGATCTGTTAGTTGTCCTCTGTACACGAATCTGCAGTGTATTTCGTCGTATGAATCCCGTATGACGGTTACAATCTTCTTAGGTACACCGTAGTGTCGAACAAGATGCTTTAAGGTTCTGCCATCTGTACTGTCCAATACTTTCTCACAGTCAAGGAAGATGATGTATAGTGACGAGGTTCATCCAACCGATTGTTCAACAATAATCCGTATTGTAGCGATTTAATTGACACACGATCTATCCCTATGGGATCCATCCTGTTTATCTCGACGTTGGGCACCTTCTGAATTTCCTTTCAGCTCAACAACACTGTATTGAAAACTTTTCCTGGGACTGGTCAGTGGTTTAATGCCTCTGTGGTTCTCACGTTTACTAAGATCTCCTTTCTTTAGTATTTTAGTGAGGTATCTTTCTATCTAGTCTGTCGATACTTGTTTTTGTTGTGACTTTAAGTTCGGCTGGTTATCACGTGATTTATCCGCCGATCGAAATACAATCTTCACACTGTGCTAAACCAATGACGTTCGACCAGTGTGAGCAGCCTAGAGTCCTTATTGGTCCCTTGCTCGCCTAGCCGTTCCAGTTGAGTCCAGAACACTAATACAGCTTCTACTATGAGAATCATTTATTTCAGAAATACCAAACAGACCGCAACGCACCATAAAATAGGAAATAACATCTATACACAATAAAGCCAGAAGTGGCTGTGAACGTGGGATACAGTAATTAATAAACAGAGTATAACTTGAGAACAGTAAATCATAGAATAATAATCTATAGGTTAAAATGAAGCTTATAATAAGATGAACATAAATATACACAATCTAATTACTGAATAGTTTTACCATAAGGATGTATAGATAATATTAGTCCATTATGGGTCTCAGAAGTTACTCGTAATTTAATCTTCGCTAGGATATAACAGTTTTTCATCCTAAATCTTTCCAAAGAGAATATGGAGCATCTTCGTAGTTACTTCTAAGTCTAAATTAAGTGCCTCAGCTGGTATGCCATCTGGTCCTTCTGCTTTGCCATCCTTTATTTGTCTCATAACCAGGCTGATCTCCTTGATTGTTGGTGCGGTAACATCTGCAGGTAGGTCTGTAGATACTCCTTCGATGTCCGGTGTGCTCAGCTGACCCGGTCTGCCGGAGAATTCTTCAAAATCCCTAGCAACCTTTTCTTTTGTTCTTTGATCTGTGATTGGTTTGCCTTTTTTGTTTTTGGCTGGTCCCTTTGATGTACCATATTTTCCTGATAGCTTTGTTGTTCCGTATAGTTGTTTTAAATTTCCATCTCTTGCAGCTTTTCTGCCGTCATTGCTGCTTCTTCCATGTATTTCCGTTTATTGGCTCTAATCCTCCTCTTCAGTCGTTTGTTTTCCTCTGTGTATTCGGCCTTTACTTTGGCATTCCCTGCTCTTGTTCAGCTGTTGTTGATCGGTGTGTTGTTCTTCCATTCTCGAATCTTGCGCAGGGAATCAACAGAGATGCACCCCTTATGCTGATGCTTCTACCTCCTCAATCTCTCATCTGCTTCCAGTCCAGACGTTTAGAACGATGGGCGGAACATTTCAGAGAACAGTTCAACTGGCCTTCAGCTACTCTACAACTACCCTCCATTCCCAGACAGTCTCAATGGAACATTGAAGTAGGTCCCCCAACTGTTGCTGAAGTTCAAAAGGCTATAGTTAGTCTGAAACGAGGAAGGGCAGCTGGTCCAGACGGACTGGCTCCAGAGGTCTTTAAGGATGGTGGTCCAATTTTAGCGATTAGGTTGACTAATATTTTGGCTAAGATCTGGGAGTTAGACGTTATCCCATCTAACTGGTCACAGTCACTTATCGTCCCAATACATAAGAAAGGGTCAAAATCATCCTGTGACAACCACAGAGGGATTAGTTTAACTAATATAATATCTAAAATACTAGCCTCGATAATTATCAGACGCCTAACTAAGACTCGTGAACTGCAAACACGAGAGAACCAGGCTGGCTTCAGACCTGGTCGTCGCTGCATCGACCCCATATTCACCATTCGTCAGGTTCTAGAACACAGGCATACTTATCGGCGTCCGACAATGGTGGTCTTTCTCGACTTAAAAGCAGCATTTGACTCGGTAGACCGCGAGATTCTGTGGCAGTGTCTGTCATTGAAAAGCGTACCCAGAAGTACATAAACCTTGTGAAGGCTTTTTACTGGAACACTACCAGTCGAGTCAGAGCTTATGGCGAACTGTCATCTGCTTTTGCAACCTCAAGTGGTGTCCGTCAAGGCTGTCCACTTTCTCCATTTTTGTTTAACTTCATCATAGACCTATTGATGGAAATAACATTCTCGGGTATTGATCTCCTTCCAGGAGGTCGACTTATCGACTTAGAATACGCAGATGACATAGTCCTGTTTGGTGAAGACGCTGATAAGATGCAGAGTCTTTTGGTAGCACTAAGCAACAATGCCAGAATTCTTGGAATGCGCTTCTCTTCCTCTAAATGCAAGTTGTTGCTTCAGGACTGGTCTGCATCAACACCTGAACTAAGGATAGGGAGTGAAGTAGTCGAACGCGTTGACAACTTCACTTATCTTGGAAGTCTGATCAACCCTAATGGGTTGGTGTCTGACGAAATCTCAGCACGGATTCGAAAAGCTCGTTTGGCTTTTGCCAACTTACGTCACCTATGGCGAAGGCGAGATATTCGTCTATCAATAAAAGGACGAGTGTACTGCGCGACAGTCCGTTCTATTTTAATTTACGGCGGCGAAACATGGCCATTAAGAGTCGAAGACACTCGTAAGCTACTAGTATTTGACCACAGATGCCTTAGAAATATTGCTGGCGTCTGCTGGGATCACCAGGTAAGTAATAGTGAGGTTCGACGCAGGGTATTAGGGAATAATGGTAAATCAGTTGATGAGGTTGTGAATCTTCATCGACTGAGATGGTTGGGCCACGTGTTACGTATGCCTGAATACCGATTACCACGACGTGCAATGCTATCCGGTATTGGAGATGGTTGGAAGAAAGTTAGGGGCGGCCAAACCAAAACGTGGCATCAGTGCTTGAAGTCACTAACTTCTAGTCTGAGCCATGTTGGTAGATGCAGACTACTTGGTTGGGGTCCGCGCGACTATCGTAACCAATGGTTGGAGACTTTCTTTCTACGAATCAATTTTTTCTTCTTGTACTATATCTCTATATGCAATCTTTCTCTTACCACCTTTGACCTAACCACTGCTATGAATCCGGTGTTCATCTTGTTGTGCTGATGCGGCATGGCAACCTGGACCGATGCACCTATGTGCCTGGTCCTACGTTGTAGCTGACTGACTGACTGACTGACCTCAATCTATTTGCTATCCCATCTAGTACCCTATTCCCAATTGCGCCATTGCATAGTGGGTGCAATACACGAGCGATGCTTCGGAGACACTATGGTTGAATACTGGTAACCCACGAATATTCTATATTGCTAATGGCGGTTTCTCACACCCATAAACTGTTTCACAGTAAACTTGTTCTTTGGTTGGTAGACGGATATCTCACGTACTCCACAAGTGGCTCATGTTGGCAAAAGCAAACTGAGCTTTCTGAATCTGTGCCAAGGTTTCTTCACGAACCAGCCCGCAAGGACTGATGAAATTTTTAAGATAAGTAGGGCAGTTGATACGCCCAGCTACTTCACACCCAATCATAAATTTAGGCGATAACACAAACGAGTTTTAAAGCAGCATTTTGCATTTGGAGAGAGAGCCGAATCTCAAACAAACTTCCATTTTTACTTAAGTTGGTCGGAAGATTGCATTTTGTCAGCGTCTTCAACAAACAGAACTATATCGTCAACGAGCGAATCGCCTGGTTAAAGATAAACCCCTGAAAAGTCAGGTGATTAAAGTGTTATCTCTAAAATGGGAAAAGTAAACAGCCCTGACGAACACCATTTAAAGTCACCAATTCGGATGACAGTTCGCCATAACCTCGTGTGTACAGACTTCTGAGGAGTCTCATACTGGAAAGAAATAGCTACCCATTACTCCGTTGTTTCGATGGTCATCTGGATATATAAATTACAAAGTGATCATTTCCCTCAAAACCTTATATTCTACTCATTTTGTTGATTTTCTCATCGTGCTAATATAAATTTGTTAGAACGCGCGGATTTTCCTCGTCTACACGAATGGGACATTAATCTGTCTTGGACGAATATCTACACTACATTCCTACAGGACTTCAAAACAACTCAGATCAAGAGTACGTGATTAGCCTGACTAGAATGTAAATATATTTCCACACCAAAAACCTACAACAATCCAGTAATAATAAGGATAAGAGAATATATAGCGCATTTAACGCCTGTCAGAAAACCTACAAGTCTGACTAAGCAAACAGCCAATCATTATCGCCCTTCCCCAGACATCAAAATTAATCGTCCTGATTTATCAAATTGTCAGATAAGGTTCTGGGGATAACCACAAGTGAATACTCTATGGGTTCCCAAAAACACAAAATTTATACACGGTTCTCTATCCGTATGTTTTATATAAAAAGGCTTACTTTTTGATTCAGATGATAAAATCTATTTGTATTTATCATTGTTATTTCTGAAGACTGGGAATGGTATATCATAGTATCAAGTTGTTAGCATATATAGAACTAAAATAACCCATTGTATCATTGAATAAAAATAAAGAGGATTCAGCAAAGAAAACCCAACTATAAATACGAATGTACGGCTTAAACAAATGGTTTCGCCGGAAAGAAAATTTTCTTCGTTTGATTCTCTTTTATTTGTGCTTGCTATAATTTTTATTACTTCTTTATAGTTGGGAATATCTCCTCTCCATTTCGCTGCTATGAATGGACATCTTAGTTCATGTGAAGCGCTCCTACGTGCTGGTATTAGCAGGGACGCTCGGACTAAAGTTGATCGTACTCCTCTCCATTTAGCTGCTCAAGAGGGTCACGCAGATATTGTGGAGCTTCTGTTACGTAATGGAGCGGATCTTAGTGCTAAGGATATGTTACGTATGACAGCACTACACTGGGCAGCCGAAAGAGGTCATACACCTGTTGTTCAAATGTTGATGCGTTTTGGAGCTGATGCACATCTCCAGAACAAATTCGAAATGACTCCTTTAGATATAGCTGAATGTAAGCAACACGATGATGCTCGGGATGCTATGTTAGTAAGTCATATACGTATCTGTCTTTTCTGAAACTATGCAAAGTTTATACTCGGTTTTTACATTGTCAGTTGGGAGACATTTTGGTAAATATTATAGTTCAAATATCGTGATTTCATTTACATGTCACTGATTATTATACTAACAGGAAGTACATGTTACTAAAAGATTGATCTGAATTGCAAAACACCCGTGCAAATCGTAATGTTCCACTATGATAACTCTGGAATAAGCTCGTCACATGCTAGGCGGTAAGTTGGTGAATTTTGTAAACTAACACACCTAATGATTTTGTATCAGTTAATAAGCTGAATGCTACATTGACATTAGTAGATGAACTCAAGTGTAAAATTATTATCCTTTCTAGAAGATAACAGGATAGTTGTCTGTAACTAGAAAGAATCTAAAGCATACAATTTACTTTAAGTTACCTAATCTTCTATAAATGGATGATAACCTATACCGTACAAAAATGGTATATTGTTCATCTCAACATTTTTTTCAACTTTCGAAATTTCTGCAGAATACTCAGTATGATTTAGTATCGTCAGTCGGTCGTATGGCTGCCACGAATGGGGATATAGTAGGTGCTAACGCATACATCTTAACGGAAGAAGAGACGTTAGTTCCAGCTGCTCCTCCAGCTGATGAGGTGACTGTCACCGCGACAACGGTTGAGGAGTCTTCCAACATACAAGACTCTGATATCTCCGAAACATTCTCAAATGGTGGTGATGCTTCTAATGAAGATGAAAAAATTACAACTCTTACGAAAGTAAAAAGTGGTCATAGTGGTTCTAACAAACGAATATGGAAAACTGGATTAAGTGAAAATACAAATGTCAATCTTCATGGTGAAAATTCGGAAGCCCAAACCACTCCTTATTCATTATCACAGTCAACACAGGCAGATAATACAGATTCTATTCCGAATATTAAAAATAAACCAAATTTATCTGGTGATATTTTATTGCCTTTGGATGAAGATTGTCCAAGAGATGTTGTAAGCTGTGTGATCTTTATTTTCACCCTTAAATTTTCGCTGAAATGCTTGCTTTTTATATTGTACTACTACTACTACTACTACTATCTGCTTAGTAAACCATGAAGGTAATAGTCCTTCTCTAGTCTACCATGGTATTCGAATAGCCGTGAAAATAGTATTGTTATCTATCAATCATTTAAACCAAAAGGTTGTGAAGAACCATTGGGTTTAGGTGGTCTGTTGAATTGACAGGAACTCGGAAACTCATCACATCAGGTTCAAAACGCGGTAACCAAAGACAACTTAAACGTTGACGGACATATAGTGTACGCAATAGTCGTGAGTTGTGATAGGTGATAAAAGCAAGAGATGGAACAGTTCTGGCGACAGGAAACACAAGATAATTTTTCAAACCAGTCCGAGAAACATTTTAAAAAGTCAAGTATTGATGGAATTATCCCCGAAAGAGACGGGACCGTAATCTACTCTCCCCTCTAGAAGGTTGATAAAATGACCAGGATACTGCGGTTAACAGTTTGCTTGCTATTTACACTGTATTTATATATTATTCCTAGATAAATGGGTGATCGACACGAGCCACCAACACCTACCGATATCGGGAAGACCCTCTAATCTGAATCGAGAGGGGTTGGGGGAACCTGGTGGACGAAGTCTGTATATCCTTTAAGATGGTGGCCAAATTTTGGCAAAAGTCTGAAGAGTGGACATAATCCCATCTAAGTTGTCTTGATGACTGGTCTTTCCAGTGTATAAAAAAGGACTGAGATTTTGTGGTAACCATTGGGGTATTTGTTTGACCGATATATTGTGTTGAGTTTTATTCTCAATAATCGTTTAGTGCTTGACTAGGACTCGTGTATGATATATTCGGGAAAACTGGGCTGGTTACACGTCTAGGCGTGCATGTGTGGATCACACACCTCTTCTTTAGTTTCTAGAACAGGCATACTTACCGACACCTTGTCATAACAGTATGTTCTGACTTGAAGATGGTGTCCCACTCCGTAGACCTACATGTTTTGTAGTGATTTCTGTCATAGAAAGACTTGCTAAAGAATTTTATCGTCTACTTAAAAGATTTCTACCAGAACACTATTAGTGAGATCAGAGATTGTATCGAACTATCATCACAGTTGATAACTTCAAATAGTGTTCATCAAGGTTGCACAACCCCATTTTTATTTAACTTCGTCATAGGAAATCTCTAAAAGAGATAACGCTTTATTTGTCTGACTTTTCTGGGATTGATCTCCTAACAAATGATTCACTAGTGGACTCCAACTACACAGATGATGTAGTTATTTTTAGTGCAGATACTGACAACTTGCAGTTTCTCAGTCGTCCTGGATAACAATATAAGCGCGTTTGAGATGTATTTCTCCCTGTAAGTCCAAAGTGTTGCTTTGACACCTAGGCTGAGAGTGTTGAACACTTCATTTATCTTGAAAGTCTTATCGGTCCAGGTGGTTTAAATGCAGGACACTAGGTAAAGATGGTAAATCTTTATCGACTTGGGTGGTTGTGGCTTTTGGTATGTATGTTGAACCACCGTCTGCCACGACAATGTTCGTTGATGTAGGATTAGTTTGAAAGGAAGTTAGCGGCCCCAAAGCAGGACAGAATCAATCTCTGCAGTCATTGTTTGTTGGACGGAACCGGTGTCATTAGGCGCAAATTACTCGATATGATCGGTGTAATAACCGTAATCAGTGGTTATGAGCATTGGCTGGTAAGGCTTAGTACTGATCACAATGGTGCAGACTCATTCCCTTTATTTTTCCCTCAGTCTTATTGTTCTACACTATTTCATACTTTTTATTCACCCAATCTATCCACTTTGGAATTATATTCTCTAATGTTTAATCTGTCTTACCTATTGATACTACTATTATTTCGCTATTCATCGTATTTTCATATCGTTTTGGCGATTTAGTTTGAGAACATTGGGTAGTGCACATTCGTATCGAGCTCTATGTTAATGATAACTGGCCTGGTAGTAGGTTGTATGAAGTGTAGTGTGTAGTGGTCCAGAAAGCTGTATCAATCCTTACTCCACGCTGGAATACGTCCACCATATTCTTCATCATTATAGGTGGCAGTAAATCTCGAGCTAAATTCAGTTCGTCACCAACATCACTCCATTGTTAGTTTCTTAGTACAAAACCTTGTAATTTCATTTAATGAGGCCCCACTTCTTTACAGAGTTGTGTTGGTGTTCAAATAAAAAGTTTGATATCTGTAAGGTTTGTGTTTTAATGGATGCAGAACGATAGCTTATTAGCTTAGCACTGTAATTCGAATCAGTGTCTCGCTAGTGTTACCTCGACTTCAATAGCTGCGTCATCCATAGCTCTCTCAATAGTGGTGGTTATACCTTGGTTCAAAAATGTGTCATTAGGATCTGATTTGGGTACAGTAACGGTTTTCAACCCTAAAAACGGAAAATAAGAGTGACAGCTTGTAATTTGTTTCCATACTTTCATTGATCTAGTAAACTGAACAAGTTTTCGACCCCTATACAAGTTTTAATGTGTTTTGATGTCTGACATTGCTTATACAAGTTGTCAATATTTGAAAGTCACTATCACTACCCAAAGAAAGCCCGACCATTGTTGCTACCTCGACATGGTGGTCGGGCTTGCCTATCATGATGAATCAATCGAGCTTGCCTATCATGATGAATCAATCGAGCTATACTGGCTGGAACAACTGTTCCTCAAGGTCCTACCATGTCAGACAGGTCGGTTGATGAGCGGTAAGACTAAAAGCAACAAACCCAAAGTCCGAAGGCAAAGTCGTACTGCTAACTGTACAGAGGTGTGACAGCAGTAAGGTGTTTCCTTTAGACAACCAGCATGACAGCGATGCTGTCTTCCCACAAGGAGGGGTGGGGTTAGAAAAGGTCGACCCTAGAAATGCACACCTCACCTTACCTCACGGATTTCCGTCTCCGGCGGTAATGCCCTTTGAAGAACGGAGCTTAAACAAAAGTCTAAGGAACGACTGTGGGTAGTGGTGGGCAACGAAAGCAAAAGAGACGGAAAAGGCAGCGATTGTAGGTAACGCAAGACAGCTTTTCGGACTAATAAAAGAAATTCAAATTAAGAAGTCAAGTGTAAGTGAGACTTTTTCGGAAAAATACGACACCCTCATCTTCTCTCAGTCCAGACGTTTAGAACGATGGGCGGAACATTTCAGAGAACAGTTCAACTGGCCTTCAGCTACTCTACAACTACCCTCCATTCCCAGACAGTCTCAATGGAACATTGAAGTAGGTCCCCCAACTGTTGCTGAAGTTCAAAAGGCTATAGTTAGTCTGAAACGAGGAAGGGCAGCTGGTCCAGACGGACTGGCTCCAGAGGTCTTTAAGGATGGTGGTCCAATTTTAGCGATTAGGTTGACTAATATTTTGGCTAAGATCTGGGAGTTAGACGTTATCCCATCTAACTGGTCACAGTCACTTATCGTCCCAATACATAAGAAAGGGTCAAAATCATCCTGTGACAACCACAGAGGGATTAGTTTAACTAATATAATATCTAAAATACTAGCCTCGATAATTATCAGACGCCTAACTAAGACTCGTGAACTGCAAACACGAGAGAACCAAGCTGGCTTCAGACCTGGTCGTGGCTGCATCGACCCCATATTCACCATTCGTCAGGTTCTAGAACACAGGCATACTTATCGGCGTCCGACAATGGTGGTCTTTCTCGACTTAAAAGCAGCATTTGACTCGGTAGACCGCGAGATTCTGTGGCAGTGTCTGTCATTGAAAGGCGTACCCCAGAAGTACATAAACCTTGTGAAGGCTTTTTACTCGAACACTACTAGTCGAGTCAGAGCTTATGGCGAACTGTCATCTGCTTTTGCAACCTCAAGTGGTGTCCGTCAAGGCTGTCCACTTTCTCCATTTTTGTTTAACTTCATCATAGACCTATTGATGGAAATAACATTCTCGGGTATTGATCTCCTTCCAGGAGGTCCACTTATCGACTTAGAATACGCAGATGACATAGTCCTGTTTGGTGAAGACGCTGATAAGATGCAGAGTCTTTGGTAGCACTAAGCAACAATGCCAGAATTCTTGGAATGCGCTTCTCTTCCTCTAAATGCAAGTTGTTGCTTCAGGACTGGTCTGCATCAACACCTGAACTAAGGATAGGGAGTGAAGTAGTCGAACGCGTTGACAACTTCACTTATCTTGGAAGTCTGATCAACCCTAATGGGTTGGTGTCTGACGAAATCTCAGCACGGATTCGAAAAGCTCGTTTGGCTTTTGCCAACTTACGTCACCTATGGCGAAGGCGAGATATTCGTCTATCAATAAAAGGACGAGTGTACTGCGCGACAGTCCGTTCTATTTTAATTTACGGCGGCGAAACATGGCCATTAAGAGTCGAAGACACTCGTAAGCTACTAGTATTTGACCACAGATGCCTTAGAAATATTGCTGGCGTCTGCTGGGATCACCAGGTAAGTAATAGTGAGGTTCGACGCAGGGTATTAGGGAATAATGGTAAATCAGTTGATGAGGTTGTGAATCTTCATCGACTGAGATGGTTGGGCCACGTGTTACGTATGCCTGAATACCGATTACCACGACGTGCAATGCTATCCGGTATTGGAGATGGTTGGAAGAAAGTTAGGGGCGGCCAAACCAAAACGTGGCATCAGTGCTTGAAGTCACTAACTTCTAGTCTGAGCCATGTTGGTAGATGCAGACTACTTGGTTGGGGTCCGCGTGACTATCGTAACCAATGGTTGGAGACTCTTGGTGACATGGCTCAGAATCGATCACAATGGCGTCGGTGTATACACTCTCTATCTTCCCTTAAACTGAGAGATTAAAATTGCTTCATATCTTTTTTTTCTACAAACTAATTATTTCTTCCTGTACTATATCCTTATTGCAATCTTTCTTTTATATATTACCACCTCTGAATTAACTACTTTTATGAATCCGGTGTCCATCTTGTTGTGTTAATGAGATATGGCAACTTGGACCGATGCATATATATGCCTGGTCCTACGTTGTAGCTGACTGACCCAAAGAATAAATTGACTTCAAGGTTTTCATTCCCTCATTGTTAGTTATAGAACGTAAATCGGTGAGCGTCCGTTAGTGCTTGAGCTCTTTGCATGGATTTTATATTGTTTTGTGTAGTCATATATAATTTATAATCGGTAATGAATAATAGTGTTAGTAGCCAGTAGTGGGGTGGGTATTTGTGTTCACTATTTCGAAAGTGTACGGTGTTCAAAATATACTTGACTCATATTTTCATTGGTCGAAGTAAAATTAAGGAAGTGTCCTACTCTTTCATGTAGTGTGTAGTTTATTATTTGAGAATCATGACATCCAACTTTTTCGTAGAATTTTCAAATAAATAAATATAATTTTCATTATCAGATGATAGTTGAAACTCCGGATGGTGAAACGCTTTATGTTCATCATCAGTCTAATGAAGACGGTTCGAGTGGTCTAGTCATTTGAATGACACAGGTGAACAGGTGAATAATCCAACTTTGATGGCACAAGTAATGGACGCGTTAGTCGCTTTGCCAGAAAATGTAATCAATGAAACATTAAATGCAGATAAGTAAGTGACACAGTTTTAAAGTATCAAGAAGCTTCAAATTTATTGGAGATTTACATTAATCTATTGAACTTAATTATGGTTTACAATTTTCCACTTGTTAGCTCTAACGTAAATATTGAATCGGAGTTAGATGCTTCATCACTTCAACGCTTGGAAAAGAGTCCAAATAACAGAAACCTGAGGTCAGAATTCAACAAGACAATCGTTAATAATGATAGGTTTTTTCAAACTAGCACTAATGGGTGTCAAACAGGAGGTCGACGACTAAGCCCTACGCATACTATAGATAATGAAGATGATGACGAAGATCTTGACAACGATGAATCAGAATCATTAGTAGCTCACTTAGCTGCATTTGCCAACCAGCCTGAATCCCAACAAACAACTATCTGTGTAGAAGGTAAGCGGAACGCATGTGAGAATTTGCGAGATTTTGGTTTTGTCAGGGTTTACGATAATCACTTTATTCCTGAATTTCTTACACTGTAAAAATGAGTTCTATTTTTATTCTCATATTAAGGTTGTTCTAGTGTAAAACCTCTACTTATCACATTCTTATTCTGTGTTGCAAGTGCCCCCAAAACTAGTTTTCTCAGTTGCAGTTCCTAACGGATTAATCTGTTTGAAGTACGATGAGAATATGATTCTTTCAAAAAAACTTGGCGTTGGATTGCCTCATGTTTATCACCTTTTAAAGTGTTATGACCTTGGCTTTCTTGTTCATTCTTTAATTGGTCACTAAAGGAAATATACCAGACTCCAGATATAATTTTTTAGCCCGAGTACACTAAACTTATTAAACCTAAGTAGTGTGAATAGTTTGAGACGTTCTATGAAACAAAAAGTTGTTGCATTCGCTTCTTCCTCAACCTTTAGGAAGTTGGTTATAGATGTTTATTGCTTGAATTTTGTGAAAGTAAAATGAATAGCTGAAACATTTTATATTTTGGTAAGAAATGCGGGAACTTAAACTATTTCCAATGAAAATGAAATTTAATTACATAGAAAGAATTTTTACAAACTTACACTTCAATTCTTATGAAACACATCTCACTGGATGCTTTGTTTTAATGTAAAAGGAATGGGATCTGGTGCTTCAACCCATGACTTAATAATGTGGTGCTTGTACAATGGAATATTTATTCGTGGCTATGCAGATGAACCAACCTTTATCATCGAATTCGTTTACCAGGGTGAGGCATACACCCTTTCGGCGTCATATGGTAAGTTTTTAAGCTGCTTAATGTTCATGCGACTACTTTTATAGTTTGACATTCGAAGAATTAATTTTGTAAGCACTTGTAAACTCCTGTCACACACACAGTACTCCCGGAAATCTAATTCTTTTGTGTGTGGAAACAAGCCTTACTGATGATAAAGTTCCACGCTACCTAGTGGATTGCTATCTTAGTTTATTCATCTATAATGGTAAAAGTACGCAACTTCTATCTATTCGGTCGCCAGCACAAAATCCAGTTTACCTACTTTGGCTTTCTGCATAGTATAATTAGCTCTCATACAGCTAAAGCTTGGCTCAAAGCTGATTAAAATAGACGCATCCCCCGATAGTCGTTGCAAAAACAAATTGAACCCTTTTTAAAGATAGGAACAACTCATTGCAGTGTTGGAACACTAATTACCAGATTTTTGTAGACAACTCAGTTAGTTCCTCAACCACAAAGTCGCCAACATTTTTAAGATGAACCGGAGGTAAGTCGTCTGGTTCTGGTCATTTGTAGAGCTTCAAAGTTGGAGTTCCTTGCAGAGTTCTGCCTTATTAGATGGATTAGTCGTCACATACCATGAAGGGTAAAACAGTGTGATCGATGTCGCCGGAGCAGCAGACCAATTGTACTCCTCCTCCTCGAAAAACTGCCCATCGTTCAAGACGCCGGTGGATGTTAATGATTGGCATCTCGTCAGCTTTACAGATTGTTTCACTCACACCAGACCTCTTGCTGCCAGTGACTAAGATGAGTTGAAAGAGCTTCCGGCAGTGACCGTAAGTAATTACTGTTTCCAACTCATTGATACGCTCCAACCACCAGGCTTCTATGACCTTACACAAGCTTTGCACAACTTCATTACGTAACAGTCTTCATTAATGGTCAAACTCACGGTCACCCGGAGTAGACCAATGTGATTCAATGAGTTGTAAGAAGCCTGTAGAAACCCTGTGCTTGTAGGCAGGACGTTTTGCAAAGCCGCAAGTGAATTTACTAGCTGTTATGAATTGAAGTTGTGGTTGACTTTTACCCTGTGCTAATTGTTGTATCCTTGACTGGAAAATTAGAGAGCAGCGTACTTATCGATCGATTCAATGACACGTAAACACGTACGGACGGCCTAGAGTCTCTATTGGTCTCGCTTCCCTGTCTAGCCCAGTCAGTTGAGTCCAGAACACAAGTCACAGCCTCGGAGATATGAATCATTGTATTTCAGACATGCTCTATTTATATACCAAACAAGCAAACCACATCGTACCATAAAAATAGAAAACAACATTTCGTACAATACTCAACAAGTGAACAGATATCGACCAATAGGAAATATCCATTTAAAGTCCAAGGACACCACTGGACTTAACATGATAATTATTGGTCTATTCTTCCGCATCCACAACACTAGCCTTCTTCATGGCGTCATGCAATTTCAGCCAACACACATCTATACTTTTCGGTTGGTTGATAGCTAGCCTTGAACTCAGCTCGGTTTGATATTTTGTTGCAATAGGAGCTGCAAGCAATTTGCTGACATCGATCCGTTTAGGACGATGAATTTGTCGGCCACTGAAATGTAAGGTAAGATTAGTGCAAACAAGGACATGATCCGAGTCCAGATAGGTACTCCAAAAGGAGTGACAGTTTTGTACACAACCACGCCAGCGGTAGTTAAACGCGATGTGATGGGAAGACGCCAGGTAGAACATCAAGGACGACTGTGCTGAAAGTTAGTGTTAATCAGAAACAGGTCGTAGTCTGCGCAAATTTGCAATAAACAGTAACCGTTATCTCACATGCAACCATCAAGTCCCCATCGACCACCTAAACAACTCTGTTCTGTGTCTAGACGCCCGACCTGAGCATTCAAGTTTCTTGGCTAATACTACAATATCCGTCGAGAGCATCTTCTGTTGAAGAACAGTTAACTGGTAGTAAAACTCATCCTTGGTCTCATCCGGGGTGCAATCTGTCAGAGTGTAGGTGGAGATGATGAAAAGACATCGTTCCTCACACCTATTTTTTTCTTACTTTGATGAAGCTTTCTAATCTAACAGCACATAACCGACTATTAATGGAAATGCAATCGATCAGTGCTGCCTCAGCTCTAGCGCTTAGTGCGACACCAACGCCAGCTAAACTGGATGGAGATGCCACGGCGCCCCCGGACAAACGCACGTGAAACAAGGTTTTCGAAGTGACAGATGGAGAGAGAATTTGTAGGACTTCATTAGTCTTGAGCACGGGTCTCGGACAGAAAACAGACGTCGGTAATGAGACATTCTAAAGACATAGCCACTCCTATCTGTTGTCCGATCTGCATTAGTGTGCAAACGTTGAAGGAAGCCAGTTCGAATGGTATACGTGGTTTCAGTATTTGCATTCGGTGGTAGCATTCAACTTTCGACCAGTCAGTAACTCGATATCGTTTAGATAGTGAAGAGTTTCTGTATACGTTATAAAGTATTACTTCTAAAGTAGGTATGAAAAATATATCCATAGGATTTATTATTAGTAGAACTTATGCGATTTGGGATGTTTATAACCTTTCACCTCAATAAACTTAGGACATCAAAGAACATTCGAATCAAAGTATCACGTTGTTTTGTGAGAATTAGCTATTTAGTTTACGTACTGGGTTCAGCTGTGCATAGAAATTATTTATCAGCAATGTATTGGCCAAAGTATTTTTGCGAACTACATACACTGGGTAAGTAGCCTCACCGATTAGTATCATGTATTGGTCTAGTCGTATTTAGCATTACACCAACCGATTCTTATTTTAGTGCAGCACGGTCAAATTAGCTAGCGACTCAGCATGCTTAATACATTTCAACCGCTTAAATCAATGTTTCGCAAGGATTGTTTGTGTACGAAGGTTAAGTGTGCTTTTCATACTATTTACACAGTATTTAAAGTATACATGAATATACAAGTAAGCAGATTATATTCTAACACTTATGATCTACAATTAACTTTATTTTTAGATTCACAATCTGGTACTATCAATTTCTATCATGTGGAGACTAACCAGAAGTTATAAGAACACCAGAACATAAATTTATTTCAATTTTATTCTGTACATATGTCTATTGCATTTTTATCGAAAACATAAAAACCTTCTTTACTTAATAATAAGTTTTAAAAAATCGAAAATAAATGCACGAACCAAAGAAAAAAAATAAGGGCAAAGTTGTTTGTTCAACTAGTTCTTAAGGTCATTGGATTTAAGAGAATATGTTGTTTGATGATATTTGGTAAAGGTAATTGATCAACCCATGTTACAAACGAAAGTGCATTTTCATTTATCAGCGAATTATGCTTATCAGTCATCTGGCAAATTAATATAAAACGGTACTGTAAAATTCGACGGATTGCACGTATCCCTAGAAGTCTTAGGTTTAGTGGTGCATTCAGATGGCATCGTATATATTCTAAGCTATGAAATTCAAAGTAAAACAAACCAATAGTATTAGTTACTGCGTAAGATTGTATACACTAACGTATCATGAATCTGCTAACAATACCACACTTTCTTTAATATCTAGTGTAGGTTTTAGACTTAGTGTGTTAGAAAATCCATATAAGTTTTGACCACAGCACTTTTTTTAAATCAATAGTAAAAGATTAGCTAGCTGACCAGCAGATGAACTGCTCGAACTTATCGATGAATTAACTGGAAAAAAAACTGGGTGAATATTAAGAAAAGGAGAAAGTAAAACTGAATGGCAAAAACTTAATAAGTGGTGTGGAATAAGTGAGTTTGCAGCAACAATTTTGTTACCTATAACAAAAATATAATCTACATTTGCATCCCAGCGAATAAACAGTAAGATTTCCCCTCCCACTAGTATTAAATTCGAATCAGGTTGTTGAATTCAGTCAGTCGAGCATAAAGTTGGTCACTTCATTAATTGTTTAAAATAGATGGCATGTGGATCCAGGATGAACTTTTCATCCTGTTGTTTCTTTATGTGGATTATTCCTAAAATGTTTTGAAGAATCTCCTGTAACTTGGTAGACAGTGGTTGGATAGTTTTCTCTATTTTACCGTACACAGTTTCATCAAGCGTTTGTAATTAAACTTTACTTTCCATCTTAAGGCCATAGAGTGTTTAAATTAAAACATCAATTACACCCACTAAATCACCTTCAGAAAAAGTTAGCACCCAGTAAACTTACATGTTATTCAAGTATTGGTTTTTCGAGTCTACTGGATTTGACTGAGTTATACTATCAATTAAAAGGCATCCATGTAACTGGCCTAAGATGAGCAATTGACAAATCAATATTTCAAGTTTATTCATTATGGATCCAGTGTTGTTTGGATAAAGAACACATGACAGCAAAGGTCTAAGAAGCCTTTCTCCCAAAACATTTGTGTTGCATGTTAATTGTTGATTCTGCATAGAACTGTCTCCAGTTGCTTTTATGAATAAAGAATATCAAATTAATTTTCATTGCAATGTCTCAAAGTTACAACAATGGATAAGAGATTTTGAATAGGAATTTACAAATTTTAATTTACCTCCGTGTGCCACAAATATTTTTTTAGCAATCCAACTTTATTACTCCTTACGCCATAATATCCTACATTTTGCGATAGCCAGATTTACTAAGTTACTTTGTTTCTTAGCATAATTTCCAGTATATCCAACCAGTACTAACAATATGGTCTGCAAATTAATATTATAATCTCGTAAAACTGCTCTTCTATTTTTGAATTTTATATCAAGTAAATTAGTGAAACTTACTAACCAAAACTCTAGTTCCCTAATCGTGACTTTGTTTCGCGAAATTCGCATAGAAGGCCTAAATGTGGTTATTTGAGCATCTGGCAGTTTGATGGGAATAGCTTGTGGCTTTGTATATGTACGTCATGCATTAAGTTCACAAGCAAAACATCCACTGCTAGATTAGAATTCACCTGACAGTTCTCTGGTTACAGCTAAATCTGATAGCACTGTACTTACTCCTCACTATTTGGAGTTCAGGCGAGTTGAAGGTCACCCAGTTATTTTAACAGGTGACTTAATTACATACATAGACGCTAACTTTAAGCATAGGGAGAAACATATGTCAACTCAACAGTAGGCAGAGAGATTATATGAATGTTGTTACTAATCTAGAGGATCAATAAACTATTGGTATTTCTTCCAGACTACGTGCTTGAACTTTGTTCATGGTCTTGTTTCATTAGATATCGAACTATTGAGACTGGGAAGTTTCTCTCAGCCTATATCAAAGATTGATATGTGGTAAATGGAGGTAAGATGTGATCGGTCACTGAGCATGAACTGACACACAGTTTTTCTTACTATTAAAAATAAGTGGTATCTTTCCCATCATTGATTTTCACTCTGGAATCACTAAGTATAGACTGCGTGTAATTGTGTTAAATAAACTATTGGCTTACACTCTGGTAATCTATTTCTTGCCGTGAATCGTATATTTGGTAAGACGTAGTCCCAGTCTGTATAGCTTTAAATCTCAATCCTGTTTATATTAATGTGTTATAGTAGTATAACGTACCGAAAGGAAATATTTTTGTTCATCCGTCATAATAAGACATACACAAGGATAAATTAAAGAGGTATATCATGGGTCATGGATTAAATTTCCAACCCTTTACAGTCCAGTACGATATTCAGTCAGCATTGAAACAACAGTAATGTTTAACAAAGGAAATGCGAGGATTTCAAATGCTGACTTTAGATCAAGAGCACTTAGGTTACGGTGGTAAATCAGATAGTATTGTAAACTTGACTGAAGCGACCTGAGTATATTTTACTCATACCCAATTACTACATTCTCCAGAAACGTGCTTATATTTTAATACTCTATGCTTTCGTTCACCTACATTGGTCGCTGCTTTTGGTGCTCCAATATTGTTGACATTATTTTTAGTATCTTACTCGTTGAGTATCTCACAGTGTGCTAAACAGAGTGGGTACATAGAGATCACAAGTTTGTACATGCACCTACATTAATCTACCCGCTTGATTATAGGCCGAAAATAAAACTTGGAATCGCCTTACTTGAGAAGTGCTGTAATAAACTTACTGTACGTTAAACGCAGAAGATTTGCTTTTATCCACAGTTGTAATACAGAGATGATACGCTCACTATTATCTGACTTAATGCGTCCCAGTAGCTGATCAACAGTGAATAACACCTGACTTCCTTCATCATTTTCAAATAAGGGTTCTGAATGTAAAAGTCCCATACTACTCATGCTGCGTATATGACTGTTCATACGCAAGTCAACTGGTAAAAGAGCACTGCAAAGGCACAGATGTGAAAGAAGACTTTCTAAGCAGTTGCAAGCCCCGTGAGCGCGACAGAGCAATTGTGTTATAGCTGTTAATCCAATGACGTTGGAATGAAATAGACTAGCCGGTTCTAATTTGTCAATTAGTTGTTTCGTTGCACCACATAAACCTTCGTTGCAAAGGATGATCAATGGTGTGTCTCCAGTAATGTGATGCTGAATTAAATAAACAATGTTAACAAAATGCACAAATGAATACCAAATGTTCTTTTATTTAAAAAAAAATACTAGAACGAAACGTGGATTAGATTGTTAAGGACGTTTAATCTATTCTACATACAACTTGTGATACTTTGGTTACATTGGGCGAACCCAACAAGATTCACATGTGTCAACAAAGACTGATCGAAATGTAGTCTTCAATATCGATAACGGGATAACTCAGACCTTACAAATGATAAAAAAGCTACATGCTTAGGACCTTTGCGGTGACATTTCGTATTTTGATAATATTTGATTTTACTGGAAACATTTATAGATTAAGCCGCAACTTGTATTTCGTTAGTGAAGGTCAGATGTACTCTTTGGATAAACAGCTAACAACATATAGTATTAAATTATTAATTGATTTGAATTTTTCGGTTTTAATAATATGGTAACAATAAAAATACTAACTGCAAACTTACACTAGCAGACATATCCAAACCACAGTCAAGGAGTATCTTGAGGCCAAGCCCATATGTTTTAGACACGAGAAAGCAAACGAGTGAACCAATTTCCTCGCATTTGTTGAAGTCCTTTAGGACAACGCCATCATTTACATAGCTCTTCAGAAGAGACAATGGGCATTCTGATTTTTTTATATTTGCAAATAGGGCACTAAAGTTCATCCTGAGTTCATTGTTGAATAAGACTGTAAACTGAATAAATAACAGTTTTGAATTAAAGATATTTATTTTACCATAAAAATAGGCAGTATCCTAAGTTTATATATGTTAAGTGTGGGAGCTAGGTAACGGCAGTCATAACTATGGTAAAAAATAGTAACAACAGTAGCATTATTGAATATGTCCGGAACAATACAGAATTCTCAGTGGGAAAAAAGAGGATATATTTGGTCCAGAATCATTTCTTAGTATTCTATACATCAAAATCAGATCACGTCTTAAACTGCGATAAGATAGAGTAGAGAGGCCTAGCTTTTCAAGCCGCTCTTTGTGTGGTAAACCACGGAGTTCTGAAATTGCACGGGTAGCTTCCCTCTGTATTTTTTCCAGGATATCCGAGTCACTTCTTGAAATGGGCTTGTAGCCTGAACGCAGTTATCAAGCTTTGTTCTCACTAAGGTTGTGTATACTGTAGTGAACATGGTAGTATTTAACTTGGTGAATATCCGTCTTAAAGCCCATAGGGTTATCTTAGTAAACGTCGAACATCCCGGCCTATCCAGGGATAGCCGTGCTTTTTTTCTTTGGGACTGTCAAGGGTATATATGATTGAGTCAACCGATTGTATAACTGCCTGAAATGAGTCACTAGGACATAAGTTGGCTTGGGAGGAAGTCGTCTACTACACATTCTGGGCTGCGATATACTACACCTAATCCAATATCTTGCCGTCTACACTTCAGCCTGCAACGCACCAGTTCACATGTCCCTGAATCATGTGTTACTGTCTCAAAAGCTCGTATGGTTAAGGTACGTTTTGTGTACATGACAGCCCCACCTCCCCTACGGTTTAATCTATCAGTCGTACTGGATAAAAAAAAGTCAAGTGAATTTCATTACCGAACATTTCTAACATTGACCATGTTTCTGAGACAACAATAATATCCGGTTTTCTATAACCACGATTGCCTTGAGCTCCGTCATTTTACTTAGTAGGCAGCGAGCATTTGTGTAGCACACCTTTAATTCTGTGGAGAACTTTTCATGACCACCCAGGGTGGTTTGGGGATCGTTTTGCTCCGAACTTTTACAATTTGAAAACCCTTAAATTTCGGCGCCGCTCATTTATTTCTACTTCCGCAACTCGTCTCTTAATACGGTCAACCAGGCTGAGATCCTTACGGACGTATATTACGGATCCAATCAATTTGCGTGAGTTTCCCGGTATCAGGTTTCTTTCTTAAACCGTAGCAAAGGTAACCACCTTCAAGAGGCAGCTTTTCTGAGGACTTTCAGAATCCACCTTTTGTCCTATTCTATAAAGCTTACACATGCCGACTCCTGAAACAGTTCCTGGGGATAGCTTGCTTATTAAGGACTTAATATGACTGAGGTCGTGCTCAAATCTAGCCTTTGGTTCCTTTTCGGAAGATTCTCTTAGCTTATGAAAAATGATTGACCTCTCAGAGAGGTCCGTCATAACATGCTGTGGAATTTTAGTCCCTGAAATCGTTTCTTCCCTGCAATCTGATTCCAATTTGGCATCAAACGCAGAGGTCAAATTCTGTCTTCTTACTTTTCTTTTCCTGATTGTGACTGTGAGCCAATCATTTACCTTATTTTGTCTCTTGAACACATCCTCTACACCGCCCAGACCTGGCTCCGCGATAGTTTGCTTAGCGTCGATATGTGAATCCGGAACTGATATCGTAGATTCATACACCTTTCAGGGACACCCTTATTACGTACTAATCTCCCCATTTTGTGGAAAAATTTGTGTTTTGGGGAAGCCGCTATAGAAAATTATGGAAAAATGACACAAAAACCAATGTCCTAATTTTGGGGAAATGGCCTAAAACCCCAAAATCTCCCCAGATGTGGGAAAATTCCCCGAAATTTTGAGTTTTTCCACAATATTTCCCAAAAATTTCGGATTTTTCTCCAATATTACCACTAAGCTTTGAAGATTTCCCCAGAAGTTTACTACATTTTGGGTAAATCTGTCTATATTTATTTATGAAACAGCAAACGTTTCCGCAATTTCGGTTAAATTATCTAAAATGCCTCGCTTTAACGCGATGCATCTCAACAATTTTCCACAGACGTCAAGGAAAAGCCTGTCGATAATAACGACATAAAAGCTTATTCTCATCCCAATCTACCAATTCTGAGGAAATGAACAAAGTTCGATGGCCTTCCCCAAAGTTTGGGGAAAAACCCCAAAATCTGTATTGCGCAGTTTTCCAGACAAACACTTCATCACCAATGCATTTTTAAACCTTTGAAGATGAAATTACAATTAATAAATATTATTATTAATAATATCATGAACTTTGGTCACGAATACAAAACCGATGTTGAGGTTTTGTTGTAGTACGTCAAACAAACACGAGACAATGAGTTGTCGGCTTTAAACCACTTTTTCAAAATTCTCACGCCATGCAGGTGGGTTTTTTTTTACTGTCTACAATTACGCTTAATGCTTTTGTTCAGTTTGACTAATTGTTTCTTTTAGACTAATAATTAAGGGCTTCATAAAAGTGCTAAAAGACGGGCTAAAGCCAATAGAGATTTAAAGTTGATGGGCTGTCCCAAATCAACCTTTTACAAAGGTTGAGGAAGTTAAAAGCTGAGTTTGATAAAAATCATCTGTTAACGACCACTGACTATGAGAACCACAGGTCAGTTGTTGTCGGAGTTGGGACCGCCATGGATACACAACAGTGTAGCAGTATCGTCCCGCAATCAGCCACTGTCTCATGTACTTACGTCCAATGTACAGCCATTACAGCCAACGGTATAGTCAATGTTTCTTCGGATCGCAAAATATAGGTAGTGTCTGGATTTGTATTTACAAAAGAGCTAGCAAACACAAATTTTAAGCATAAGGAGAGACATCTTCTAACATGGCAACCTCCTGCACCAAACCAACGATGGACTCGAATAGACTATATTGACATCAGTCATCGTTGGAGAGGCTCGACAGAAGATTGTTGCTCATTCTGGAATACCTGCTTGGACTCCGACCATCCTCTGATACGGGCACGCATCTACTTGCACCTCACTGGACGCAAAAAATCCACAGTAAAAAGACCCATTAGAATTAAATTGAGTAATGAGAAAACCAAAAGTAGGTTCCAGGAACAACTGAGGTCACAATTAGGTAGTTCTGAAAACGAGACTGACCCATATGTTGCTTGGAAAGATATAAAAGCAGCTGTGGAAACAGCAGTGACATCTGTTAGTGATTTAAACCACAGGGTTACAAAGAACCAATGGATTTCTTCTAGGTCTATTGCACTGATGGATTCTCGTAAACTCATCCCATCAGGCTCTGAACACTATGAAGAACGAAAACAAATCAGATCTAGCTTAAACAAAAGTCTAAGGAACGACTGTGGGTAGTGGTGGGCAACGAAAGCAAAAGAGACGGAAAAGGCAGCGATTGTAGGTAACGCAAGACAGCTTTTCGGACTAATAAAAGAAATTCAAATTAAGAAGTCAAGTGTAAGTGAGACTTTTTCGGAAAAATACGACACCCTCATCTTCTCTCAGTCCAGACGTTTAGAACGATGGGCGGAACATTTTAAGGAGCGATTCAGCTGGTCTTCAGCTACTCTACAACTACCCTCCATTCCCAGACAGTCTCAATGGAACATTGAAGTAGGTCCACCGAATTTATCTGAAATTTAAAAGGCCATAATTAACCTGAAACGAGGAAGAGCAGCTGGTCCAGATGGATTGGCTCTAGACATCTTTAAGAATGGTGGTCCAATTGTAGCGATTAGGTTAACTAATATTTTACCTAAAATCTGGAAGTTGGATGTAAGCCCATCTGACTGGTCACAATCACTGATTGTCCCAATATATACTAATCAGTTGCACCAACTAAAGTGGGTGGGCACGGTTCGGACCTGAAACTTAGTGACTGAAAGTTGAACGTCTTAATCACCACGCCATCATTTTACACACTATAAAGTACATCGAGATGAGCACTACAGTTTCGTTCAAATGTAAGTTTGGTTGGGATTGGTGTAAATAGCCACCTTGAACGCTAGCCTCAAACAAACACAGAAGCTGAGACACCCATATTTGAATTGTGATGTAGACGGAAACTAAACAAATAGTATAGAAGGGTTAAAATAATACTGACTCCTTGCAATAATAGCTCCCAGACCCATGGAACTATAGGCCCACACTTACAGGGTGATTTTGAAAACTATTAAGGCGAAACAAAGGACTTCCCTGAACTAAGATTTTTCTGAATAGATGAAATTGAGACAATCATTGGTGTATGGTTAGGATCCTAACGCAAAATATATTTGTTCATGGGTAATTTCTATGGACAATGGTGTTCCAACATGAGAACATTTATGGTTTAAGGACACGTTTTACAGGTCGTGGTAGGACGCCCCCAAATGCCCTGGTACGGCCGAGAGTGGAGAGAGTCCTCTCTCCCTCTCGAAATGCTCTCACATGGCCACGCGTATATAGCCTCTGCCAGGGAAGTCCCACTCACTGTCTTCTCGTGGCATTTCTGTTGTTTACGAAATTGAGAGGACGAAAAGCGAACGTCCGGCGCTTTAACCGGGTTGGTGGACATGGAACGTACACCTATTTATTTATTTATTTGAACACGCAAATATTGATACAAGAGAGCGCCAATATATATGCGCCACACAAAACAATGAGAATTTAAAGAGAAAGAAAAAGAAAAAAGGTAAGGAGCGTAAAAAAAGAGAACAATAACGAAGAGGTTGGTGTAAGGTAGTGTAATAATAATAATAATAATAATATAATAATAATAATAATAATAATGGGGGAACGGAAAGGTACAATCAGAAGAAATCTTTCAGTTAAGGAAGATACAATCACTTTTTACGAAGAAAGTAAAAGAAGGTTAGAGCAGGATCGCCACTAGTTTCTATTCTGAGCCATATCTGATAACGTCTCTAGCCACTGTGTTGCACCATCTCTCGGACCCCAACCAGGGAGTCGTGAAGGACCAACACAAGCCAGTCATTTGCAGCTTTCTTTCATGCCACGACGCCATGTCATATACTGACCACCTCTCCGCTTTTTCCAACCAGTCCCATCGTCGGCAAATAATGCACGACGTGGAATTCTCTGGGACGACATTCGTAGAACATGTCCAAGCCACCGAAGTCAGCGTTTCAAGATGGTGACACCGATTGCCTTATCATCTCTGTGCCCGAACACATGATGCCAAACCTCTGCATTACTAACATGGTACACCTATGGGAGTTGGAAAATCCTGATTCCAAACCAATTGTGCACATGGGCTTCAGTATCCTAACGGAACAAATGGCGTATGAACCAATTATTGGCCACCGGCTACCATGGGACTGCATCTCCTTACGTTGCACCACTGACTCCTGGATCAGACCTTCAGGTCGAGGGCTCCGGGTGTGGCCCCCTAAGAAAACCACCCGGGTAGTATCACATAACATTCTCGTCTACTGAATTCTGGGGTATTGATCTCCTTCCAGGAGGTCGACTTATCGACTTAGAATACGCAGATGACATAGTCCTGTTTGGTGAAGACGCTGATAAGATGCAGAGTCTTTTGGTAGCACTAAGCAACAATGCCAGAATTCTTGGAATGCGCTTCTCTTCCTCTAAATGCAAGTTGTTGCTTCAGGACTGGTCTGCATCAACACCTGAACTAAGGATAGGGAGTGAAGTAGTCGAACGCGTTGACAACTTCACTTATCTTGGAAGTCTGATCAACCCTAATGGGTTGGTGTCTGACGAAATCTCAGCACGGATTCGAAAAGCTCGTTTGGCTTTTGCCAACTTACGTCACCTATGGCGAAGGCGAGATATTCGTCTATCAATAAAAGGACGAGTGTACTGCGCGACAGTCCGTTCTATTTTAATTTACGGCAGCGAAACATGGCCATTAAGAGTCGAAGACACTCGTAAGCTACTAGTATTTGACCACAGATGCCTTAGAAATATTGCTGGCGTCTGCTGGGATCACCAGGTAAGTAATAGTGAGGTTCGACGCAGGGTATTAGGGAATAATGGTAAATCAGTTGATGAGGTTGTGAATCTTCATCGACTGAGATGGTTGGGCCACGTGTTACGTATGCCTGAATACCGATTACCACGACGTGCAATGCTATCCGGTATTGGAGATGGTTGGAAGAAAGTTAGGGGCGGCCAAACCAAAACGTGGCATCAGTGCTTGAAGTCACTAACTTCTAGTCTGAGCCATGTTGGAAGATGCAGACTACTTGGTTGGGGTCCGCGTGACTATCGTAACCAATGGTTGGAGACTCTTGGTGACATGGCTCAGAATCGATCACAATGGCGTCGGTGTATACACTCTCTATCTTCCCTTAAACTGAGAGATTAAAGTTGCTTCATATCTTTTTTTTCTACAAACTAATTATTTCTTCCTGTACTATATCCTTATTGCAATCTTTCTTTTATATATTACCACCTCTGAATTAACTACTTTTATGAATCCGGTGTCCATCTTGTTGTGTTAATGAGATATGGCAACTTGGACCGATGCATATATATGCCTGGTCCTACGTTGTAGCTGACTGACCCAAAGAATAATTGACTTCAAGGTTTTCATTCCCTCATTGTTAGTTATAGAACGTAAATCGGTGAGCGTCCGTTAGTTGGAAGACTATATGCTATCCAGTCAATTGAGTGAATTTCGATGCAGAGTATTGCACCCAGACGTTCAGTCTTCAGTAATAAGGATAGTAGGTTGATGAACCTGTGTTAATCCTGACACATTGCTTTCCAGTGAAGGTCCAGCTTTTCCTTGAAAGTATTCACTGATGGGGCTGATACCACTTGTTCGGGTAAGGCGTTCCAATGATTGACTACTCGATGAGAAAAACGGGACCCCACTTTAAGTTTATTAGATCGTGGTTTATGAACCTTCTTGCTATGACCTCGGAGATTATTAGTGCTGGAGGGAGCAAAAAGATAAGACATATTAACACCCAAATCATAATTAAAGATACGAAATGCCAGTATAAGGTCACCTCGTGTCCTACGATACGACAAGGGGAAAAGATTTAGGCGTTTTAAACGCTCATCGTAAGGGAGTCTAGAAAGACCCTTCACTAATTTCGTTCCCACACGCTGGACACGCTCAAGGGAGTTAGTATCCTTTACCAGACACGGGCTAGCTGCTTGGATACAGTACTCTAAATGTGGTCTAACATATATGGGATATAAAATTCGAAACGTTTCCTCGTCAAAAGATTTGAACGCTCGGCGAAGTGACCATAACGCACGAAAACCTTTGACAGCGGCTGCTTTGCAATGCGCAGTTGTTTTTAAATCATGACTTAATATTACTCCTAAGTCCTTATGCTCTTGAACGCATGGAAGAGGTTTACCCTCAATAGTGTAACGGTAACTATTACCGTGACCGATGTGCATTAGTACACTCTTCCTAGCATTGATTTCTAAGCCCCACTCTCGAGCCCATCTAACTAAATCGTCTAAGTCAGCTTGAAGATCCAGATGATCAGCTTCACTTTTTATTGTTCTCCAGATTTTTACATCATCCGCAAACAATAATGTCGACGACCTAAGTAACAGCGGTAACTCATTAACGTAGAGAAGGAAGAGCAGAGGGCCTAAGATGGTGCCTTGGGGTACACCACTTTTGACCGGCTTCCAATCGGATAGCGTTCCATTGACCCTAACTCTCTGTCTGCGGTCACATAAGAAATTTCCTATCCACTCATGTACAGTACCTATTATTCCGAAGCTCGTGAGCTTCTGCATAAGACCTACGTGTGAAACCTTGTCAAACGCTTTGCTAAAATCTATGAATATCACATCGACAGACAGACCGTGATCTAGGGCTGCTGTCCAATCCTCCCTCGCAATAAGCAAGTTAGTCAAGCATGAACGCTTGTTACGAAATCCGTGTTGCTCAGGAGCTAACAGATTGTGTAAATCTATGTGGCTTAGCAACCTAACCCGAATTATCTTTTCGAGTAACTTAACGACTATGCTAGTTAGACTGACAGGCCGGTAGTTAGATACTATCTGTCGCTGACCGTCCTTAAATATAGGACTAACTATAGCGTCCTTGCAATCTCTAGGGAGTTGAGAGAGTGAAAGGGACATGTTGAAGAGTGTCGCAAGCGGTTTTGAAATAATGTCCGCAAGAGATGACAGCAACCGTGGATGTAACCCGTAAGGGCCCGGTATCTTACCACGTTTGAGGTTAGTTATCAACGGTTGGTATCTCGGTGTGAGTGGGACAAGTATTTGTTACAATAAACGTAGAGAAGACTTCGCTAAAATAGTCTGAAAAAGTCTCAGCTTTTCTTCGATCTGATTCAGCTAGTAATTCTGAATTTTCGTGTAACAATAACGGGGGAATACCATCACTACGTTTCATTTGCCGTTTAGCATACGACGTTGACTCGCCAAGCAGCTAGCCAATCACTCATCACGATTGCCAGCATACCAGAATGCGTCTAACATGTGAGAACTGAGTTAGTGATGCGCCTCTCCGAACTCTCTCAAAATGAGTGCTTAAAACGCTTAACTATTTCCTTCTTATCTCAGAAAGAACCCAGGCTGAACATATATTGACGTCCCGCACCTTAAATAATGATTGCAGAGTTCTCCTTATTATGTACTAGTCTCACTATTTTGGGGGAAAACTTCGTATATTTCGAGGAAGCCGCTATGGAAAATTTTGGGAAAATGGTTCAAAAACATAATCATTATTACGTAGTATACTACTGAAGACCGAAGGATAAAGATTCAAGGCGAAGTTTTAGCACAGAGAAACCTTACACCATGTAATCCCAATTTCAGTTCTTGAAATCTAACAACTGGTCGCTTACAAATGTTAACCAGTTTCTAAAAACAAGAAGTGAGTTTTAGATAAATTTTCGGGCAAATAAAATAAACAGTAATATATCTTAGTTGGATCTGTAATTACTTATTATTATCTATATACTTGATTTGGAGACATAAACTAAGAAATATGAACCCGCCTCAAAAGAACTTGTCACAATCAGCTCATGAGCGTTCGCTGGTCTGACCTTGAAATACGGTATAGCTTCAAGCCTCAAATTTTTCCGCGATAGTAACGTATCCTGTTGAAATATCGAACCGATCTAAGCTAAATAACCATTAGAAAGCTGGAATCACCGGAAGGCTGTTCTGTCGTGATATGGAACTGCTTGTTTCATGAGATCTTCTTCTGGATAGTAATAGAACGTTCTTTTTTCAAAGAAGATTAGTTCATAAGGTGTTTCTTCGGAATGTAAAGCAGAAAATTGCTGGTTAATCGTAGCATAAGCTAATGAAGAGTAACACATGGCAATAATCTCAGAGTGCCCGGGGAAAATCGTCCATCTTCTACTCCTAGTACCGTCATAGACATCCTTCTTTGGAAACGTTTCGAGAAAGACATATCTATGCAAATATTTTGTGGGAGATTTTCCGAACTCAATCTTGACTAAACACAGAAAACGGTTGTGAGTAGTCCGCGAGTCGGATTTAACACAGAGGTCCAAAGACCTGTGTCGCCTATTTTTAGAATATTTCTATGACCGTCTAGTACTCTCCTGATTGAGTCAGTTGGAGGTGTATATACCATTGTTTTCGATGGTAGGTCCAAAGTTGATTACTTAGTGAGAAACTGCACATCCCAGACATTTTGCTTGTTCTTGAATCTGTGAACACACCTACCATGTCCTCTGATATATCTAGTGGGAAAGAACAGGTTCGAATTCACTTCTTATAATCCTACAATCCAAAACGGAACACACCGGTCTACGGCAAGACGAGGTAAGAAGATTTAACTTCCCGGACCACTCTGCACGGTAAGCCTCAGAATTCCGGACTTGTAGTTGTCCTCCATGCTGTTTCAAGGATGTCCGAGTCAACTTATAAACTGGAGCTATTGGCATGAATACAGTCCCCTGTTTTGACTCTCATAAAAGTTGTGTATACTGTGAAGAGCATATTTGTATCCAACTTAGTGAATATTTATCGCAATCCACGTAAGTTTTCAAACATTCTGGCTGTGCTCGCGAAGCAATGAGCCACGGTCTTGATGCCGAGATTCATTATTGCTCCTAGATCATTGCTACACGACAATAAAGTCATAAATTCCTCCCGACATTGCGATCACTTCTGTTCCTCCGTCGAGTTTCCACGCAGACACACGTCAGTAGACAACAGTAACAATCCGGACTAGATAACCAGAAGGTCTACCGCACCTTGTAGTGGACTAGCATCAGCACGGCGGCCTGTTTGAGGATCTGGACCACTTGTTCCTGCCATCTTATTATCTGTTTTTCTTTCTTTTCTAACACTTCGTTTTGTCTATTAATCGATAATCTATACAGGCGCGTTTATGAGAAGCCTTCAGCATTTCGTTGCACATGTTACGAAAATGTACGATAAAAAACATTACGGTGGTTGTCAATATGCGTTAAAATCAATGAACGATAATCCTATGTCGATCCACGAGCTTTTAAATTCTAACTGCCGATCACTAGTTAACAAGGTGAACTACCTTCAGTTCATACTCTGTCAAAATATGTACTGTAATTGTCATCACAATTCAAGAATCTTGCTTAAATGATTTACAGGACGATTGTTTAATATCACCACGTGATTTCAAAATTTATTTTCGGGATCGATCAAACAATAGAAAGAGGTGTGGCGGCGGTATAGCTATGTTTGTAAACGTGAACTGGCGCCGATCTATTTCTGCGTGTTTCAAGATATGAAATGACGTAATCGACTGTCCAACCTTAAGATGCCATCCGAAAGATCTTCATAAGTGCAAATATGTTTAACAATATATATTTCTGCATGTGCAGGTACACCATTTTTACAGCCACGATGTATAAATTACAACATTTGTTGGTTCACAAAGTGCTTCCCAACTTATTAAGTTTCTAATTGTTATATTGTGTACTCGTAGAGCGCTTGCTTTAAACTGTGACCTTGAGGAGGCGCGTACGTCAAGTTTGTCCAAGTCGTCAGAAGTTTCATACCTATGCCCTCAGAGCAAATTTCTGAAGAAGAAAGAGAAATAGAGGAGCAGCAAGGCACTTGGATATGAACGCCAAACGTTGCTTAACATAGTGTAGTAGGACGGACAGAGGTATAATAAATTAGAATAAATTCATATTGTCTCTTGTTAGAGTGAAATGAAGTCAGAGGCTCCATATTAGAGAATGCAGTAATAAAGAACAATGAGTAGTGTCGTTTAACAAGTTGGAGTAAGCTCACATGAAGGAAGGGAAGTCAAGGTTGGTACAAGGAAAGCGGTTTATTAGAAGGGAGTGTGTATATAGAGGGTGAAGTGTTAAGAAAGAGTACATTCTTACATCAATTCAAGAAGGTCAAATATAGGAATTACTCAGGAGAAAGGATCCGAAATCTGAAAATCATATCTCGTACGGCTGACTGGGAATTATTTACAGATGACTCACTGGGAAACACTACAGATGTTATCAGTTGTTACCTTAAATTCCTTTTTTGATATTTGTTGTCCCACTGGAACCATTTTTGTAAATTTGATTGACTTACATCTTCACAAGTGAAACGACTATTGAGGGTGAAAGACACAATGTACATGGAGAAAAATCCTATTGAAGTTCATAAGCTAAATGTTCTAATAAACCCAGAGATTAGACGTCTCAACCCTATGTTTACTCAAAAAACTCCTGTCTTGCAAAAACTCTCTCAGTATATGGAAACTATTTAAATAACTTATAAGTGATGGGAACATCGGAAGCGATAACCAGCTGGACTTTTGTTACTTAAAGAAGTCTTTTGTACGTCAGTCATCTGATATAATGCTCCCTATATCCACAGTTTTAAAGAATAGTTGTGTTTCTAGCTTCACTAAAACCGATGTCCAAAAATGTCTCTAGTCATGTATTTCATCTCGGTGTTTAGGACCTGATGATATCCTAAAACTTCTTTTTAAGAAGTGTTCTGGTGTTCTTTGTTGTCCATTTACGAGTATCTTTAACAGATCCTTCTCAACTAGTCTCATACCGAAAACGTGGAGAAAGATTAATATAATCTCTACACCTAAGAAAAATCTGGTGATAAAAATGTGAAATTTAGACCCATAGCAATAACTTCACCTTTCCTGAAAACAATGGAAAAATTACTCTATTATTATTATTTGTGAAATATGCGGATGATCTCAGTGTATGCACGCCGAGCTCTACCTATGTACATCTCATAGAAATGAATGATTTGTTGTCTCGTATTGAATGTTGGTCTGTTGTTAATGGTCTCAGACATTATCCGTTTGAACGTCAAGCTGTTAGATTTAGCATGAGACATGAACGGCATCTAAACACCATTTTGAGATCCTATAATGCTTGTGCCATTGGAGACTCTTTGATAAACACAGTTTCGAAGGTCAATTATCTTGGTGTTACCTTTTCCCCTGGTCTCTGTTGGCGTTCTTATGTTTTACTGTTATCATAGGAAGTTTTTCGTCTGACTTACTACGTAAAGAGGCTGCATCGTCTTGGGATTAATCTTCATTTACACTTACAACTTTTAGATTCCTGCATGTTACTTATTATTCTTTACTGTTCTCTACTATTCTTTCCCGGCTTTTGAGAATAGATTTTGCTATATTGCGGGGAGGAGTAAAGGTAGTTGGCAGTGTGTGTGGTGAATCTTCTGAGGTCATAATTAATATAGTTGTGGATAGACATCTAAAGACTTGCGAAATCCCGGCATCCCCTTCACTCATATCTTTCTGCTTGTATATCTTCTGGTAGAACGAGACGTCAATACATCGAAATACATGCACGCAAACAAAAGTATAAAATACATATAAAACCTTACTTAGCAAATATACTCTCTGGCGAACAGGTTGTTAGAATCAACTTAGTCAATATCCTGTGTTCTTAAACATGTCTCTAAATTAGAAAGTCGTACAGAGTCTTGTTTTCCCACCATTTTTCCTTTCTGGTTTGCTGTTTCGTTTTTATTTTTGTGAAAGTTGTCGAAATACCTGAGGACTCTATAATGTACTAAAATATAATATTAACTAAAGCCATTAATAATGGTCACTATTATTCCTCAATACTTCTCATAAGATCCAGGCATAATCAGAATATGGAAGCATTAAGGGTTTGACGATGCTCTCTCTTTCACTCACATGAAATACGAAATTTCCGGGGCCTCGAGAGGAACCTTTCAGTACTCCAGTGAGTACTCGTTTTTGATAGGAACATCCACTGACTTTCAATCATCACAAGATTCCATTTATCGCTACTTTGCTATCAAGATTACAACTGTCCACCATAATGTCCCGAAAACAACTTGTCCATTAGCTAGCAAGTTGTTGACTCCACAAGAGTCATCGTGGTCATTTTGATCATTCTTTCCGATAGTTTGACCACAACATTTATGTGGCTAATCAGTCTGTAGTTTGATGGGAGTAGTGTTGGTCTTGTGTTAATGACGTGGTAGTCTCTGTAAGATCCATTTTGAATGCTTTGTGTGTTTGTGAAAATCCCTCCATGTATATACTTGCACTTTGTTCCTATTGATTCTTTTAGTTGTACATTGTTAACTTTTGGACTACAGTTGAATTGTTAATATTTGTATTTTATTATAGTTTCCGTTTTTACCACACCTTCACTAATTCCCCATGTTTCTTCCCGAACTGCACTTATGTTGTTTTACTTTATACTAAGTCTTGGCGGCAGCCATTTTGGTTTGTTCCTGCTTTTGATTGCTTGACCTGTGTTGACTGGAATTGTGCATTTTGGTTGTGAATTGAAGCACTCTTCCAGAATTGAAAACACTCTGTGTTATAGAGCGACCAATTATTACCTTTTGAACGAATCTGTACGTGATCTATCCAGACAGGATAGAATAACATTTATTTGTGGTGATTGTTTAGATTTGATCAATTAAACAATTATTGGTTGGATAGCTGTGTGGTTATATTTGTTTAGAACCGCTATCTTACCCAATTACCTTGTTTTGGTTTCAAACGGGCGAGGGCGCGTATCCAACTTATCCAGGCAGCTGTCCAGCAGTCCAAACGTGGTTTGGATCCTAAACAAATATTAATTGGTCAAAGGCGTTTGGCAATCGTTTCG